CAGGAACTAGAAACTGTGGAATCTTTGGTGTCACTAATCAGGCAGTGTGGGCCCAGTACCACCACTGAGCAAGTAAGTAATGGTGACTTATTCTGGGAGCACCTTAGGTCATTTAAGTGCTAATCCAGCAACACCAACAGTGTACTAAATACCCGGCTTTGCATAACTGCTGCCAGACAGAGACAACAAAACCTGCAGCCATAAATAGTAAGCCCACTTCAAACCTCTGAGCTTTTCGTTCTCAGTCATGAAGGCTAGATCTGACTACCAAAAAGCTAGTGAAAGCTGAGTTTTTCAGGGAACTGGATGAAGTATGCAGAGCTTTAAACACGTACAGTAAGTGACCAGATGCCTCAGTGTTTGCTTAGAGGAGCAAGCTTATTAAAACCACAAGCCAACTGAAAGATGCAATTTAATAATGGCTCCATCTTTAAAAACTTTCAAAGCTGTGTTAGATAGCTGTGCTGGAACTTGGGAGATCTTTCACAGACAATGCATCAGCTGAGTGACAGGCCTGAGTAGCTCTGAAGTTAGTCAAGGGCAAGGTAAATTAATCTCAACATATTAAGTAGACGGAGCTTATTGTAGGAAACCGTCAAAAGAATGCAGACATCTGCTCTGTGTTACACATTCCTCTTTTTGGATATTTCAGCCACTTCAGAGCAAAACTTTGGGGTGGGGTGAGGGGGGTTCCATGTCCAAAATTCTAATTGGAATCAGAGTCGTACATAAAGAAACTACTTGTTTGAGATGTGAGCTGTTTTTCAATAGCATAAGATTTCTGTCTTTTATTGTGCTTCTGGTTAAACAGAAATTTTGTTTATAAAAGGTTTGTAGCATACAGAGAATTAAGTTCATGTGCCAGATATGCACCTGGAGTAAATTTGAATGACTCCAATGCAGATCAAGTTATGCATATCCACATCAGATGCAAATGTGGCCCAAATGTACATATTTATTTTAAAATCTTTGTGTTAGTAGCAAAAGTTGAACATCATTATTTAAAGCTGTGTCTCTTTAACAAAAGTCTTTGCCTTTCATTACCTTGGAACAGAAAAGACGAGGGAGAAAAACTTTTTTGGCAAGCTGCAGTCTTGCTTTAGCCTTAAGGCTGATGTTTTAGATTCCCAGCACTTTAGGAGGGTATTTAAATCCCCCAAGGACTGTTCACTGAATTAAAGTAACAACAAAACTGCCTCCCATTCATACTGGGCTCTGTGAACTCCTTCCTGGTGGTTGCTTCCTGGCAACCATTTGTTTTTCATAAAAGAAATGCTTGTCATTGAACTTTAATAAAGCAAATAGGCCTGGAGTTTAACAAGCACCCTGCTGGTCTGTGGCAGAAAAATACAAATTAAAAAAAAAAATCAAACAGCAGAGAAAGAATGAACTTCTCCAGGGCGGCTGCTAAAACAAGCAGTTTGGACATAAGTTGAAGATTCTTCCTAGTTCTGCAACTTGGTGGGTTAAACTCCAAGCAGACCCCTTACTACGGACACGCAAAGGAACAGCGTTGCCAGTACCATGTTAACTATCCGTGATTTGCCCAGTTCTTTGCATCAAGTGTTCATTTGGAGTTATTCTGATAATGTATTTGAAAAGCTTAGTCATCCTGAGTTAAAATCTCACCTTTGCTGTGGCCTTATGAAGTGCCTCTACTAGGGAAGTCAACTCTCTCAGCTACAGCTGCTCCCCCCCCCCCCCCCCCCCCCCGTTCGCCTTTCTTATGCTTCAAGTGCACTGGCAGAATCCACATCCTCTGCCAGAGGAGGGCTAATGGTTTTAGCTTTTACTGTGTTTGTCACTTCACGCACACTATGGCTTGTTCTCAGTCCATCCATTACAAATCGATAAACACGGAGCAAGGTGGTGGTTGGGATGTGGAGAGAATAATGAGATCTGTTTACCGTTTTCCCAAGGCAGTGCTCCTCACCTGCTACTATATTGCTATTTTAAAACTTGCTTTTTTTCCACCCCTATAAACGGCCCTTGGATCACATTCAGTTGGTTAATGCATCTGTGGGGGCCTTTACAGACATTCAGTTCTTAGTGCAATACATTTGTTCCCTCTTTGTACCACTATTCAGACATCTTCCCCCCCTTTGCACTTTTGTTAGAGGGTTTGTGCATAGGAAATTGTGGGTTGTCCCACCTCAGATAGAGCATTCACTGCTCTTTGGAATGTATGATTGTTAACCTGTTTTTAGTCGCACTAGTGTTAATGATGAGCAGTACCTCTCTTCCCTCTCCCCACCCTTTCTCCATGTTACTGTGTGAACTTAATAGTTTTCAGCTTTGCCTCTGTGGTTTACTGGGCTGCTTCAGCGCTGAAGCACTCACATGCTAGTTTTTAATTTTTTTAAAGGTTCCAGTGAACTTGAAGTCTGACTAGGGTTATATATACTCAGTGGGCATTTACTCATTTCCATTAACGAAACAGTGGTCTTGTTTCCTTGATGCATGGACCCTTTAGGAATCATTAATGTCAAGATGAGCTAGTTGTCATACGTTCTACCATTCCTCCTTGGAATGGAGCTTTGCCTTACAGAGCTGGTGTACATGGTTACACATGGAAAGAAATTGCAGAGGATCTTATTCTATTAAAAATGTCCCTTCCTGGCGCTTGCTGCTTTGCATTCCTTTTTCTTAACTTGTGCTTTGTTATCATTATAACTGATTTGAACCAGGCCATAGAATGTGGATCAAAAAATCTACACACTTGGGTCCAGGGACAGATTGGGGGAAATTTTCTACAAGGCTTGGGGAAGCCTCAGGTTTGCAAAAAAAAGAAAGAAATTTAAAAAAATACACTGTGGTTTAGAAAAACCAAAAATCATAAAATCAATATCTCCTTCTTTAAGAAAGGTTTGCCACTATCTTGTTGGGTATTTTGGGGGTTGCTAGACAAACCACAACTAACATTGCCAAAGATTGTAAGCCTCAGTTAGTGTCAGTGCAGGGGAGGAGGAAAGAGACAGACTAAAAAATGTAAAAGGAGGGAAGGAAGGTAAAGCTGGAAGGGAGGAGCAGAAAAGTTAAAAAAAGAAAATTGAAGATAATGGGGGCAGAAGCTGCAAGAGGGAAGGAACTGAAAAAATAAGTAAATGGGAGGGAGAGAAGGAAAGGGGAGAAGCTGCAAGAACTGCCAGGGGAGGCAAAGAAGGAAAGTACAACGGAGAGGGGGAATGGGGAAATAAGATACTTCCGCAAGTCTTCATTGGTTCCCTACTTGTTTGTATCTAATTTGGGGAGGGCGGGATATAAATCCAATAAATAAATAAACTGTTGACTGGAAAATGCATCCTTGCCAAATGGAATAAAACAAAGGGAACAGCAGAGTTAAAGGTTTTGCAGGCCTTGATTTCTGGCTGCTGTGTGGAAGCTCTGTTCTGCTCCCTTTAATTCAAAGTATCAGTGTCTGCTAGAGACAGGGAAACCCTGCCCACTTAGAGCTAAGCTTTTTTTGTCCCTGGTGTATTGCAGGAAACACGTGGCCCTTTATAGAGTTAGTGAGAGAAGCATTTCCCTGAACAGATATTGTTACAGGTTCTTGGTGGGGGAGGAGAGATAGCTCCATCTCAAAGATTTTCTATTCTCACTCCTCTCAACCAAGTGCAAAACCACATTTTAATCATATGGCATGTTCAGTGTCCTGAGACAAGCAGCACATCTTTAGTGAAGATCTACAAAGTGCTGTTTCATATTGCCATTTTTCTGACTATCAAATTACTAGGTTTACTGAGGCCATTCAGCAGTGTTACTCATAATCTGGATCTTTTACTTTTTTCCACAGCTCTATTCTGTCTATAATCTCAAAGTCAGCACTGATGCGCATGTAGCCTAAAGTCTTTTAAAGTGTTTGTCTACCATCTTGTGCTTTGGGTATTTCAGCAATGTATTTATGTTGGTCTAGATCTTCAACTGGGAATCCTATCCAAGAGTGTCATCTAGATTAACCCTCCACCCTCTGTGTTTGCTGAGAATGGTAAACTAGCACAAAACATTGCTAGTGAATGGAAGCTTGGACCAAATAATACTAAATACAGATTGAAAGCTTCTGAATAAAAGTGTAAATTCTGAAATCCTGACTGCTAACTAAACTCAGGCTACTGATTCCCAGGGGTCATTTTGTAGAAAAAGAGCTAGAGGAACTCATTAGCATAACTCATTAGCATATGCCACACCCCCTGACATCACCGGAAGTGTGTCATAAGGCCACACCCCCTGACATCACCGGAAATGTGTCATAAGGCCACACACCCCACCCCCAATGGTCCCGGCCACCGCCGCCGGCCTTGCAGCTCCACTGCCGAGCCCCATGAGGGGCCCGGCGGTGGACCTGCAAGGCCGGCGGGAGTGCAAGGAAGCCCCGCGAAGGCCCTCCCTGGCCCCAGGTAGGCAGGGGTGGGGAAAGGCAGGGAGGAAGCAACTTACCCTCCCTCTTCTCCTGCCTCCTCCTGGCTGAATGAGGGCCGGAAGCGGGGCGGACGGAAGCAGGGGGCGGGGCTTCATCATGTGCCCCGCCCCCGGTACCTCACCCGGGGGGACTGCGTTCTCCCGCTTTCCCCCACCAAATGACCTCTGCTGATTCCTCATGCATTTGTGCTGTTTGTATGGGATTTCTGGAGCAGTCTGTTATTTCTGCCTTCATTGCATTGAAAGACAGGGCCCCATCCTCGGTTTGACCTTCTCCATTTTAGGTATCGGAATCATTGCTGATAGGCTAGCTCTTTGTCACATCTGAGATAAGCTCCCTATATCTGTATCTGAAACAGATTAAGCTGGACTGGAGCACACTACAGTATAGCTGAATTATCCCTACTTTTTGTTACCTGTCTTCCTAATATAGCATCAGTTAATATAGCATACAGTCAATCCTGTATGCTAGCAGCTATTAACCTAATTGAATCAAACACATTTTGGGAAGAGGGGAGAGGGACACTTGACAACTCCTGGGTGCTTCCAGTAATGTTCTACTTTCAACACTTGAGACCTCTAATCATTTGGAAAAAATTGCCTCAGCTTTTCAACATGTGTCCAAAAACTCTTTAAACAATGATGCACTTGGCCACATCATGTACTGTATAACCACACTGCATAGTTTTATCATATGTGGAAGGGAGCTTGTCAGCATTCTCCCCTGGTATGGCTGAGATTCTGAAAGCATTTTCTATCAGCCACCTTTTAATAGGAGTATGAAATTACAGGAAAATCTAGAAGACACAAACACAGTAATATTTAGAAAAGGAAATATTGACCATATTTTCACTCCAAGAAATGAAGACTGAAGTCAAGTTTTGTTGGTAACATCTTTCCAGTACATAGAAAAGCAATTACACTCTACTGCCACAGACAGGAAGAAGTAAGTTTAAATGACAAGAAAGTACATTTTAGAAGAGATGCTAGGGAAAACTTGCACAATAGGGAAGCATTTGGGCATTGTATATAATTGCTTGAATTGCAGGATTCTGTTCTCTGTAGGAATTCAGAGAGCTTTGCTACAGAAACAGCTCTGGGTTTCTTATCGCCTGGATTGACTGAGGATGTTCCATGTTGATCAACATGTATTTGAAGATGAACAAGGCATGTCAGACTATTAGAGCTACAACTGATCTGCACTGGCAACAGATGGGAATTAATGTAGTGCAGTATAATAGTGTAATTAAACTGAAAAGAAAAGGATCTTCTGAGGTTCTAGACCAAACTAGGGAGGGGAAGATAATGTTGGAAGGCAGCAGAGCTTTAGGGTATCTGAGAGGACTGTTGGAAACTGTTATATTTGTTCAGCACAGTGTACTTGTTGTCAGAACACACACACACACACACACAAATGTGTGGCAGGTACAAAAGGAAACAGTTTGAAAATTGTGGGACAGGGGCCATGAAATGTAGAAGGTAGCAGTAGATCTGTTGAGTTATGAGACACTTTTCTTTGCCTTTTTAAGACTTACAGGGATTGGAATTTCAGCCACCTCTGATTGTCCCTAAACTGTAAAGGATATGGAGAGCAAATGGCAGGGATCGAGGACTGACTGTTAGGCTTAGAGCAATTGCGTATCATTCTCAGCAAGACAGGAGGAGGCAAAGGTTCAAATGCCATCCTTCTGCTTCTAAAACTAAATACAGGACAAATGATCCAAACTGTAGTGTGCTTGCAGATTAATAAACCACAGGTGACTGTTGGGATGCCCAAGAAGCTCCTTGCTTGTATTTTCTGGCTAACACCTGTCTTTTGTGCTCTTTCTGTCAGTATCAAGGAGTTTGCCATTAGCAATTCTCTTTGAGGAGCCATCCAAGCTGCGCAGGATGTCAGCTCACACTAAGCACACTCTTAATTAAACCTCTCCTCTGACAGGATTGATGCATTAGACCAAAGCGAATAATTATCATGCTTTATTCTCTCCCTCCTAGATCCTCTGGTTCATTTCTTCCATATTAAAAATGGATCAGTCTCTCATGAGGTAATTATTTTGGCAGCAAACCCACTCATTTGTTGTTTTTTTAAAGCCTTCTTTATCTAGAAGGTGGCACTCTTGCTGGTGTTTGAAGGAGAGGGCTAGAGTGCTTTGATTCCCTGTGTAGATCTGAATAAACAGCCCCCCGATCTCAAACAGCTTCTCACCCACAATAATACAGTATCTAATTTTTACATGAACTCTAGTACCAGAGCTTGCAATAAACCCAGATGCCAACTTTGCTGCCACATACACCCAAACAACACAATCACTGGACCTAATAACATCAACTACACCATATCAGGCTTATTCACATGCTCATCTTCTAAGATTCTATATGCCATTAAATGCCAACAATGCCCTTCGGTTCTCTACATAGGGCAGACAGGTCAAACCCTATGCCAAAGGATAAATGGACACGACTCTGACATCAAGAATCACAAGACTGAGAAACCTATAGGAGAACACTTCAGCCTTCCAGGACATTCAGTGGGTAACCTCAAAGTAGCTGTTTTATTGCAAAGGAACTTCAGGAACAGATTAGAAAGGGAAACTGCTGAGTTGCACTCAGAACAATGGAATCCCCAGGACTTAACAGGGATATTGGTTTCTTATGTCACTACATATGCTAACCTCATTCAGCCCTTACAACTGTATTCTCACCAGTCCCCCAGAAGGGCCATATGTCCTCTTTATTTTATTTTATTTCTTATTTGGAATAACAGATTGTAATATAACAGTAGATTGTAATGTAATATAATTTGGAATGGTAGATTGGAATATATTTCTCTTGTCTGGGGACAGGGGAGATAATGTTACACAGCCAATATTTATCTGGTCTGGGGACAGGGGAGATAACGCTACACAGCTAATTGCCCCACTTCAAAGAAGATGCTGTAAGGTTGCCTTCGTGCTTGAGAGGAGACGGATGGAGTGTAATGGCAGGGTTTCAGTTAATTACTCTCAGCATTCCACAATTAAGGATACATCTGCCCATCAATCGCCACTTTTGGCATATTTATTTCCTTCACTGTGTCTCCCCCTGCCCAAGAATTAAGCCCAAACAAATGGTAACCATATAAACTAAGCTTGTTATTCCTTTTGGGGGGGGTTGTATTTTTCATATGTGCTCCCTATATATGTGTGCACCTGGAAGTCATGGTGACCTCTGGTGACTGGCCACTACTGTGGGCCTGGAGGATATTTAGAGAGGTGGCTGAATAAAGCCTGCCCCCATCTCCCACCTCTGGTATTTCAAGGAGGTCTCCCATCCAAGTACTTGCCGTAGTCAATCCTGCTTAGCTTCTGAGATCTGACAAGATCAGGCTTGCCTGGGCTATCCAGGTTAGGGGGGCTAAGCTTGTTATTCCTGTTTGGTAGTTGAATCTGATAAGCATCTTCATTATGCCATATGCGAATTTACTGCTCACCCTCTACCTATATATATGGACTGGTAATTTCCATTTCATTGTATTTGAGGAAGTATGTGTGCACATGAAAGCTTATACCGTCAATAAAACTTTGTTTGTCTTAAAGGTGCCCCTGGACTCAACCTTTTACTGTATTTGACTTGTCTGCTCCTATGTGCTTTGTGGTGGCACCCATAAATATGTCATCTTTTGTCTATGTTCCCACCCAGATGGATTTCAATGCTGGCCTCAATGCCAAACTGATTAGGAGCTCATTCACTGAAGCAATAAACATGCTAGGGGAAAAGGGTGCTCTTTTCCAGAAGTCAAAGAATTCCAATGATGTCTACTTTGTAAGTATCTACAGATTATTTTGTTTACTCTCAAAAAAAAGATGGTTTGAATATGACAGGTGTAACCTATAGATCTTTTCTGCATTTTGAAGCTACCCTGGAGTTTTCTATCTCTGTATTAACTGAGGGAAATCAAATAGAATAGTTGCCATGTTCCATCCATTATAAAAAAAAGTCCTTTGATCGGATTTCTCTCATTTCCTCTAGGTGACCAGTCAGGATAAAGAATTGTACAGATTCACCCTGGAAATAATCAGAGCTGATTGTAAGAGGCCAAAGTGTAAGTATGTTCAGATTCCTAATGACATACAAATAAAAATTTAATTTCAATCAGCAATTATTTTCTGGAAGATACCAAAACAAAATGGCTGCCATGGGGAGGGAGAATCCTCTGCAGTTATTTGAGCAGGGAAGTGTGTCCAAAAATATGTAGTCTACCCTAGTCTAGTCTTTGTGTCACATTTTTGGTTTCTGCAGTCAAATAAAATTATTTTTGGTTCTTACGGAGGATCCATGATGCTGAATGTGGGGATGGGGCAGAGAATTGGCAGATTTTTAGAAAATACTGTCACGCTGAGCGCCTGCAGGAACAAAATGTAAGGTGTGTTTAACCCAGTGCTATGGCTTCTTTCCAAGATTTTCCATCTGCTCATGGTGAGCAGCTTCATATTTTCTGGTGAAATCCAGGCATGTTGTCACTCTCATCTAGCCTCATGTACTTTTCCATGGCACCTTTCATTGGCCATGCAATTCAGTCCACATGTGTTTTTTTTTAAAAGGTAAAGGTTTCCCTTGCTCTAAGGGGTGGTGCTCATCTCCGTTTCCAAGCTGAAGAGCCAGCGCTGTCCGAAGACTTTTTCCATGGTCATGTAGCCAGCATGACTAAACGCCGAGGCGCACAAAACACTGCTACCTTCCCACCGAAGCGGTACCTATTTATCTACTTGCAATTTCTTGCTTTTGAACTGCTAGATTGGCAGGAGCTGGGGCTAGAGACGGGAGCTCACTCCATCACACGGCACTCGGGTCTCGAACTGCTGAGCTGCCAACCTTTCGGTGTGCGGCTCAGCATCTTAACCTCTAAGCCACCACGGCCCCTTCATGTGTGTTTAAAGGTAAAGGTTCCCTTGCTCGAAAGCCAGTCGAATCCGACTCTAGGGTTGCGGTGCTCATCTCCGTTTCAAAGCCGAAGAGCCAGCGCTGTCTGAAGACGTTTCCGTGGTCATGTGGCCGGCATGACTAAACGCCAAGGCGCACGGAACGCTGTTACCTTCCCACCGAAGTGGTCCCTATTTATCTACTTGCAATTTCTTGCTTTCGAACTGCTAGGTTGGCAGGAGTACTCAGAGCTAAATCTCACTCTCTTAAGTAGAGCCTCCTCCCAAGTAGATTCCTGTGTATCTGCTTACAGTGTAATCTTACATATGCTCAGAGGTCATTTCGGGGGGGAACGCGGAGGAACGCAGTTCCCCCGGGTGAGGTGTAGGGGGGCGGGGCACATGACGAAGCCCCGCCCCCTTCTTCCGGCCGCCCCGCTTCCAGCCCTCATTCAGCCAGGAGGAGGCAGGAGAAGAGGGAGGGTAAGTTGCTTCCTCCCCTCCTCTCCCCACCCCTGCCTGCCTGGGGCCAGGGAGGGCCTTGCCGGGGCTTCCTCGCACTCCCACTGGCCTTGCAGGTCCACCGCCGGGCCCCTGATGTCAGGGGGTGTGGCATATGCTAATAAGTTATGCTAATGAGCTCCCCTAGCTCTTTTTCTACGAAATGACCCCTGCATATGCTTACTTGAAAGTAAATCAGTGGGGCTTACTCCCTAGTAAATGTGATTCAGTCAAACTCTGTTTGGTCTTTCCACAACTGTAGCCCCATATAACCTCAAAGTTGCATTTCTCAGAAATACAGGTGGGCCTCCTTGACAAAGGGAAATGGCCACTTCTGGAATCTCCCTGATGTATACCTGGCAGAGGTCTCTAATGTAGTATAGCTCATTGCTCTGCTTGATCCAGCTCAGGTACACAGAAGAGCCCTGGCAGATCAGGTGCAAAACAGGCTTCTCTTCTGCTCTTTGAGCAGGGTGAAGGAATCACACAAAACAGGAAGTGTTCTTTTCTTTATCCTCAACATAGTAGCTTAATCCTTGCAATAGTTCCCAAACATGCTGTCACTGGTAGGGATGAGTGAAAAGTGCTGTGTTGCCACAGCCCTTTGGCAGTTTGGCCACCAGACCGAAGGGAAGGTCTGATCTGTGGGCTTGATCAGGGATCACTCTGCTTGCTTTTGAATCTGATACATTTCTAACTACAAAAAGAGGTTTCCCTAGTTTTGAGTCTTTTTAATAAATGTACCTGTGGTAAGGTAAGGAAATACCTGTGCGGTATTTCATTGTGAGCATCAGTGAATTTTCCTTCTGTGGATTCGCTTGAAACCAAACCAGGTGGGAAGCAGACCTCAACCTTCCCCTGGTCGAGGCGGACTGGGCAGACATATGGGCCTCTCCAGCAAATAGATCGCCTGTCTATAATGTCCGTCTTCAGTTTTTCAAGTTAACCTCCCGATGGTATTTTACACCGCAACAGTTACACAAAATCAACCCGACAACAAGCAGCAATTGTTGGAAGCAATGCGGTCAGATAGGGACATACTATCACTGTTGGTGGGGTTGCCAAAAAATACAAAGATTTTGGAATGAGGTGATAACCCAGATAAATGAGATTACTGGGCAGTCGTTGCCAAGGACGCCAGAGGTGGTGCTGCTAAACCTGTGGAATGGAGCAATGATAGGGGACAGTAAAGAGCGCATATCAATGTTGCTAGCAGCGGCAAGGTTAACAATTGCAGCAGCTTGGAAATCCCCCTCCCCACCGACAATCTCAGCGTGGCAAGAGAAAGTATGGGACCAATTTGTTATGGCGAAAATTGCAGACTCCCTGCTGAGAGCAAACAATAGTAACACCCCCACCTACACTAAATTTGTCAGGATATGGGCCCCGGTGCTAGACTATATGGTGAAGAATGATATCCTCCCAGCCAAACAAATTTACCATAAATGGTTGTATCTGTAGAAGTTAATGTATATACTTATGGTACGGCAATAGAGATGGGGGATGAGTGGCTGGACACGAGACTGTTAGTGTGTGAATTGCTATATGTAGAAACTTGGAATTTGTAAGTATGTGTCGTATGTAATGTTTAATTTTCCTTGTCTTTATAAAAACAATAAAATCTATTTAAAAAAAAAAAAGAAAGAAAGTGAAGCATCTATCTGATAGGGATACAGGGGCCTGAGCTATGAGTTTTCTTTCTTTTTATTTTCTAACAATTGCCTATGTCATGCTGAAACCACACATTTTGCAGAAATGGATTGTGTTTTGATTTTTATTAAAAATCAATTTATATCTATATCTTCCCTTTCTTTCATCATGTAATTCAAGAGATCATATGTAAGCTTGCCAGGAGGTTTCCCATTCAGGCAGTGACTGGACCCAGACTTACTTATGAGCCAGTTTGATGTAGTGGTAGTATGTTTGATGTAGTGTAGTAGTAAGCAGCTCTGAGACTCCGTGTGAAGGCGGGATATAAATCCAATTCTCCTTCTCCTTCTCCTCCTCCTCTTTGCTGGCTTACATCTAAGCAGAAAAACTTCAGCTCCCACCCAAAGCAGGTGGTACATAGCTTTTGTGATTAGTATTTATGGTGCAGTGGTGAGGGTGTTGGCCTGTAACTGGAGGCCCTGTTCAAATCCCATCTCTGCCATGAAGCTTATTGAGTGACTGTGGGATAGTCACTCCGTCTCGACATGTATTTATTTATTTCCTTAGCCTTATAGCCTGCCCTCCCCACATTTGTGGGCTCAGGGTGGGTAACAGCATATATATATATAAAAACATATTACAAATACTCAGTTTAAAATCCATAAAAATCATCATCCTTAGATCATTAAAAATATCTGCCTTAAACAACAATGTGCCTCAATGGCAAACAATGTCGTCCCAGTCTGGCTTCCAGGATCTGTGGTCACTGTGGGGGGGATGCCTAAACAGTTAGATGCCCGCTGACTCAACTAAAGGCCTGGGGGAAGAGCTCCGTTTTACAGGCCCTGCAGAACTGTAATAGGTCCCACAGGGCCCTGATCTCATATAGTAGCTCATTCCACCAGGCAGGGGCCAGGGCCGAAAAAGCCCTGGCCCTAGTGGAGGCAAGTCTATCCCTTGGGCCAGGGACTACCAGGAAGTGTTGACTGGTAGAGCGTAACGTTCTATGTGGCTCATATGGGGAGAGGTGGTCTTGAATATATATGCAACGAAGGCGGCCGGAGGGAAAAGCCGCACTGGCGCAATCACACGAAGGGAGTCCAGAGGCAGCCCGTGGCAAACCGTTTGTTACTACCTTCGAGGAGGGGGGGTTTTACCGCGCATTTTCGGCGGCATGCCATGGGTTGGCCACGGGTGTGCTCTACTTGCCAGATGTTGTGGTGTGATTGCGCCCGGAAAATCCGCCATCCAGTCGTGGCTCTCCCACGGCAAATTTGCCGTGTGAACGGGGCCATTGTATGAAAAGATACATGTATTTATTAACAAAGAATTTTAAAACATTCAAGGGCCCAATCACACCTCATGTAAAAATACACACACACCCCTTTCGTCCCTAGTTCGTTCTTTTGGGGTTTTAGCTGAAATGGTCCGGAGAGTGTCAGGGTCTTTTAGCTAGACAGAAGATCAGATGGCCTCATTATTACTTACAATGCTCCCTCTAAGCTGTGGAGTCCTGTAAGCAAAAATTCTACTTTGTGAGCTACTGGCATTAAAGTTGTGAGCAAGTGATTTGGCTACCGCATAAACTAGTTTGCTCTGGAGCCATCCTTCCTGACCTAAGATGTTTGAGCCAGAGGCTAAAAAACTGTGAGCTAGCTCACACTAACTCAGCTTAGAGGGAACACTACAACCTTAGTTTTTCAACACAAGGGAGCCAGTTTGGTGTAGTGGTTAAGTGTGCGGACTCTAATCTGGGAGAACCAGGTTTGATTCCCCACTCCTCCACTTGCACCTGCTGATGTGACCTTGGGTCAGTCACAAGCTCTGGCACAGCTGTCCTTGAAAAAGAGCAGTTTGTGTCAGAGTTCTCTCAGCCCCACCCACCTCACAGGGTGTCTGTTGTGGGGAGGGGAAGGGAAAGGAGTTTGTAAGCCACTCTGAGACTCCAAGTGGAGGGCAGGGTATAAATCCAATCTCCTTCTCCTCCTCCTCCTCCTCCTCCTCTTCCTCCTCCTCCTCCTCCTCCCCTGGC